AAAGAGCTTAAAACCCTCAGCCGAGAGGAACGACGGAGGATCAGATATTTTTGCTTTTATTTACACCTCTCGTATCGGTATAAATTCTTTATCTTGTATGAGACCATTTTTATATGCTTCTTATTTTCACTAAAAATACAATATTTTTTCTTCCTTAGCTTGAGCTATGTCCTTATGTCATGTATTTCCATCAAACTCTGAAGTGGCATCATTACGCATATGCACAGGAAGATGGACCTTGGGAGAAAATGATAGCTAAAATATGTCTCAAAACCCTGCTCTGTTACGAGAAGTTTAGAAAAATAATAAAAGTAACATTAATTTGTGGTCAATAAAGACGGTAATTGACCAAAAAAGAATGTAGCAATTCAAAAAAGAGATAAGCCTTATGGAAGCCGAGAGAGCACACTAGACAGGGCCTCATTGTCGAATGCCATGGAGTTTCATAAGACAAAAAATATTGAGAATAGGCAGCCAAAATAAGTCAGCTGTAGAGGTCAAAATGACCCTAATGAATATGTAAACACGTATCTCAGGATAGCGTACAGTTTAGGACATTAGCATGCCATTAACAGTTAAGATACGCGTTCAGCCGCAAGTCAGCAAAAAAATATTTTACTAGTTCAGTAAATCACACTAAACAATTAAAAAAATCCTATAATACTGAGCAAGGAATAAATGTAGTTACAGGTATCCATCAAGTCTTGAGCTGGGAGCTTGTGAGTTTTATAAAAATAGCGAGCCAAACTGTAGAGTAAAGGTAGGATTCTATTCAAAACTGTAGACCCTGCCTAAAAAATCAAAACACTTTGGAAGATAAAAAAGATATATTGTTTTATAGATAAAGATATCCTAACAATAGCTTGCCTATAGACAAATAGTGCACTGTGTGTATAGAGTAAAATAAAAGGGACGTGGAAAATAGTCATAGGGTTTAATGTAACGCATGTGATTAGTGCTCTGCCTAAAGACATAGCTATATTGCCTAACTCCGATTATGAGCTTGCTTCATTGCAGGGGATTTTGAGACTTCTCGCGGAATATTTTGTCGATGTGACCGTCTTCCACTAGACTTTTGGTTCTCAAACGCCTCATGTCTGCTCCTTTGAGGTTTTAGGGACTGTGTCTGTTTGGCTGAGTGCTGCTTTGCATGATCACGAGAAATCCATCCGGTTAGAATCTCACTTCGGATAGAAGCAACAAGTTTTTCGCGCTGAGCGATGAGGCCAAGTTTAGCTGATCGAATGAGCGCCTGGGCATCACTGCCTTGTCGTTCCAAAAGGCCAGTGGAAAGTACACTGGAAGCGGAGGACACAGAAGAACCTACAACTGAGTTGGATCTGAGACTGCGCGAAGAGGCTTGAATTTCAGCAGCTTCGAAAGCTAGGTTTGCCTCGGCGGCCTCAAGCAGGGGCTCAAGTAGTTTTCTGATGAAGGCTTGTTCGTTGGCAATTTTGGAAGTTGGTTCCAGTTTAGAACCTTCCAGCAAAGAAAGCAGCTGCCATATCTCATCACTAAATTAAATGAAATTATAATTGAAGAGATCTAAAGCCATTGTGAGATCGACCAACGAATCTCTTCTTCATTCACTTTCATACGAAATCAAAGTCCCCCTAACAATAAAAAAAGTTAAGTTATGCTGTATCAATTTCAAGCTAATCATTACGTTTTGCTAAAATGAAAAACTGAATCCAAATCAGACAGATCAATTGATTACATTATGCCATCTAACCAGAAGTTCATAATAGTTATGGTATGGCAGATAATATTAGGATAAAAACTAAATAAAGATAAAAAAGGAAAATCAATTACATAAAGTAGAGAAGACGCAAAAAGTGTGTTCATAGAAGTTACATATTGAAAATGATTTGTACTGTGGAAATAGATGCGTGAGTATAGAGAAGTAATTTCAGGTTTTGTTAGTAAAGTGAGTCTCGGTTTACACGTTAAAGGTGCAATAAATAAGCATTGGTGTTTCGCTTGGTGTAGCCACAGCTGCTTAGGTGATTATCAACGTGTCTTAATCGTGTACGCAAGAAAAAGTGAACAGCACAAGTTCTCAGATCAACTTTTCACCAACTACCAATCTAGTGTCTGAAGTAAACTCACTACCTTGTATGCTGAATCGGTCCTATCCTATTTATTCCCTCAGGAAAATATTTGTGAGTGTAACTAGTTTACTACTAACGCGACTATTAACTCATTTAACCTGCCTCAAGATTTAAGATAATAGTTTTAAGAATCAAAGGGCAATGCCAACCCATCGTAATTTCAGATACTACTGAAAGAAGGACTAAAACAAACCATTGATTCGTTTTTTACCTACAATTTAATTGTTAATATAATAATGGTGTCGATTTCGGAGTATGCTCTCCATATGACAATGCACAGCCTCGATAGAAAATGATTAAGAGCCCTAGTAAATTTGCCATTATATTCCGATTTGATAAACTCTCAGATCACTTTATTGCACAGATTCAGACAAAACGCATAAGTAAAAAGCCCCATCCTACCACTGGATTCAACTTGGCCTTACTTTTCAGAAGGTTTTCTGATCCAGAATAGGCCGTATTTTCGACCTCGCTTGGATCTCTTTTTGATGAGAAAGCCTTTTGAGAGGTCAATCTAAGAAAAATTAAATGATATATTAAGGCCTTTCTGTATTTAATCACTATAAACTCGACTATCAGACCTTTCATCACCCAAAACTAGTTCAATTATGGTATGTTTGCTAATAAGCGAAAAAAAGGAGCCATTACAATCAAAATCTAGGAATAGAAAGTTAGGTAACAATTACCCGTGCTTTGTTGATATACAGGAGACAGGTAGGAAGTTGAGTCACTTACAAAAGAATGTAAATCTGTTGGTTTGTAGTTATAATAGCATTCACATACTATCTACATACCTGAATCAGGAATTACACTCTGAACTATTATGGATGGTTTCGTACTCGGAAATACACGCACATCAGAACATACATGTAGATAAGTGGACACGAAAAGTAGCATAAACAAGCCAAATAACTCTATT